CAGAACTCCCCCAGGACCCCCCCTCCGGCCCCCCCCGCTAGAAAACCCCTGGGACTGGGGATGACTTTCTAGAGCCCCAATGGACGCTCCAGAACACCTCGAACAATTCAAGCCTCCCTCTTCCCTTCTCCTCCTTCCTCGTCGCCCTGTTCTCTCCTCTTCTTCCCCCTTTTCTGAAGCTTCCGAGCCCTCCCCCCAACGCATCAGGAAGCCCCAAAAGATTCGAGTGCCCCCAGGAACAGAGAATCTCCTGATAACCTCCTCCCCCTTCCCCCGGCCACAGCGTCGGAGTGCCCAGAGAAGTCATCGATTTGGTAGGCGCGGGGGAAGGGCAGAATGCGCCCACTCCACTTCTACCCTTTCGGCGAGCGTCGGCTCGACGCCCTCGTGTGCCGTCGTGACAGTGAGCTCGCCCCTCCCGACAGCTGCCGAAACCCACTCTACACTCTTCCCGACAGCCTCCTCCCCTCACGCCTCCTCCCTCCTCCCTTCTCGTCCCCGCCATCCGCTCGTCGTCGTCGTCGTCGTCGTCGTCCTCGTCGCCGTCGTCGTCGCCATCCTGTCCATGCTTCGCGAATGCGCATCATCACCACCTCCCACTCCTCCTGCTCCTTGTCGTCGTCGTCGTCGTCACCGCTATCCTTTATCGTCATCGTCGCCTCCCGCTGGCCTCCCCGTCGGGATCGCTGTCGTCATCGGCATCGCCATCCGCCCTCAGCCCTCCCGCCGCAGGCGTGCGGCCTGCAGGTGGCGGGGCCCCGCGCGCGCCGGCAGCCGTTTGGCCGGCCGCGGGGGGCGCCCGCCCGGGAGGATGGGCTCGGGCCTCAGAGGGGTGGGAGGAGAGCCTCCTCCTCCTCATCCCGTGTCCCCCTCCTCCCTCACCATCAGGGACTCGTAATGTAAGGCAGGGAGCCGCTCTTACGGGGCCACCTCGGAGCTCGGTCCTTGAGCTACGTGATATGCCCCCTGCCGGCCCTAGTGAGAAGGCAGGGCTGTTGCACAACCAATCGCAGGGGATTTTGGCAGAAGCGCGCAAGGCACCAGCGTAGGTGTTTTGACGTTGAACCCCCTTGGGCGGATGTCCTGTGTCGTCCCCCTCCACCCCATTCCCCACTAAACAGCTCCTCCCCGTCACACCCCCAGACGTGTCGGTAGCGCGAGTGGGGCGTTTCGCCTCAGGCTGCCTCGCCACTCATGGTCCTGAGGCCTGACATGCGCAACAGTTTCACGGATGGGGGGCGGGTCGTTTTCAAAATGGAGTTCTCGCCTTTGCGCCGCGCACATCCGCCTGCAAAGTTTGCAGCAGTTTTTGGGACGGAGGGGTCATGTTTGTTTAACATGTGATTCGAGTCCGTAGCGCCACGCACATTTGTTTTAACATTCTGCAGCAGCTTCAAGCATGGAGGGTTTTTTGTTCAAAATATGGTTCTCGCTTTTGCGAGGCGCACATCCTATTTTACAAGTTCGTAACTGTTTGAAGGTTGGAGGGCGTTTTTTTCAAAATGTGACTCTCGCCTCAGTGCCGCGCACATTCGTCGCACATGTTTGCAATGGCTTCGCGGATAGACGGGGTTGGGGTTCAAAATGTGGTTCTCGCCTTAGTGTCGCGTGCATTCGTCTTTACACTTGGGTGTCAGGACAGTTTTCAATTTGGAGTTCGCCGCTTAGTGCCGGGCGCATTTGTGTTAACGTTTTTCCATTAGCTTCATGGGTGGAGGGCTGTTCCTTTTCAATGTTGGGCGCTTGCTCTTGCGACGCGAACATTCGCCTCAAACTCTGGCAGCCGTCTCGAGGATGGAGGATGGGGCACAGATTTTCAAACTGGAGTTATCGTCTCAGTGCCGCGCGCGTTCGCTTTTCAATGCAACGTGTAACCAGATGGAGGGCAGGCCGTCTTCGAACTGGCGTTCTCGCGCGGGGCTTTGTTACTCTCGAACCCCGAACATTAAACACATGTAGCGCTCCACGAGTGCAGGGCGTTGCATCGGGCGCGCCGGAGCAGCCTTCTGGTCTGGGACCAGGCGGGCGGGTCCTGCGGGCTTCTCGGCGAAGTGCGTGCTACATTGGTGGTGGCCAGAGCAGCCCCGATCTCGTGGAGAAAACGGGCTGCATGCCAGAGCCACATCTTCGGCGTCCAACTTGAGTCTTTTGCCTCGGCTGCGTCGTTGGAGTGCCCCCTCGGCGAACTTCCCGCAGCATGCAGGGCTATGGACGTTTCTATTTGCGGATCGTCTCTTGTCCCCGATTGATTGTAGTGACCGTTCATGTGCTATGATACACATAGTTATTGCAAGCATGTTATGTTCGATATGCGTGTCTACTCACGTCCTGTCCTCTGCGAGTCAGGCTCTGGCAGACGCTGACAGCGAGGATTCGCGAGGACGTCTTGCATGGGGACTGTCGCATCTTTGGGCGCTCTATCTACGAGAGCAGGGTTTTCGGCACTCCAACCTCCGTGGCATCGGCCTGTATCCGGGGCCTGACCAAGTCTGCATCATGCGGGCGCAGCACCGTCCATCACTTCGAGGTGTACGGCATGATCGTGTGTCAAATCAGTAGCGCAGTTTTTTTTTCCAGCGAGGTGCGCCAGCTCCAGGTCGGCGGCGTTGAGCTGGAAGGGACTCGTGGGGATGGGCACGAACACAAAGGCGAGCACCCGATGGGTGGCGGCGAAAGAGGTGCAGGATGAGGGCGACGGCGCCAGAAGGCTACGCCTTGAGCTGTATCGCGGTAATGTGGCAGGATGCATCGCCGATCGGGTCGTCATATTCGGCTAGAGATGGCGCCTCGGTGTGGACCCGAGGCAAGCATTGGACAGCCCTGTGCTGAGCTGAGCTTGCATGGGTAGGGTTGTCTAGCCCACCGGCACCCTCGGTTTCACCAGGCTAAGCAGGCACTGAACAAGGCTGGCCTCTCCTGCATTTGGGGCGTGTTCTGCTCCCCCGTCGACCACTTCTCGTGACACACCTGGGCGCGTTCCTATTTGCTGCCGCATGACTTGGATGTGTGTAGGCGTCTGAGCCAGGGTTGCCGTGAGGGTAGGACTCGTTCGGCCGTCGCGCATTAGCGAAGGAGAAGCAGGATTGTGATGATGATGATGATGATGATGATGCTGATGATGATGATGATGATGATGATGATGATGATGATGATGATGATGATGATGATGATAATGACGGTGACGCCGACGATGACGACGATGATATGGCTGCTGCTGACGACGTCGACGGGGAGGAGGAGGAGGAGGAGGTGGAAGCGGAGGAGGCTAATAAGGAACAGGAGGAGCATGAGGAGGAATACAAGGAGGGATACGAGAGGCGCTTCCGAGGCCTGGATGGGGACATCCACCTACCGCAGCTTTCGCCGCCGTCGCAGGACTGGTCGCCGGCGGGCGGGATCCGTTCCCCTCCCTTCCCCCCCGTCTTCTGCACCCCTCCTCCAGCCCCCAACTTATCTTCGTCTCGTTCCCTGCACCGCCCCTCCTCCCATCTTCGTCTCGTTCCCTACACCGCCCCTCCTCCCTCTGGGAAGCTCAGCATGAAGAAGAGGGGTTCTGGATGACAGGGGTTCTGGAGCTTTTTGTCGGCCCTTCCTGAGGCACGGGGAGGTCAACGAAGCAGCTCAGGATGGAACGCTTGTCCCAGGGAAAGTTCCGGGGTCCGGGACCCCCTTCCTTCATGCCAAGAAGAGGCCCCCGTCACATCTGAGCATCTCTTTGTAAGAATATGCTGGAAGCCCTGGAAGCATCCGAACACCTTCGAGACTGGCGTTCAGCCTCCTCCTGCTCCTGCGCAGCTGAGCCCCACCCGCCCTGTTCTGCGCTTCCCGTTCCCTGGCTGCCTGCACCTCCGACCCTTCACACTTTTTCCTCCCCTCCCCCCGTCTCCCCCTCTCTCTCTCGTCCTCCTCTCCTGCCTTCTCCTCTGCCCTCCGCCTCTCTTGTTTCCCCCTCTCCCTCCCCGCGCCTCTAAATTTTCCCGTCTCCCCCTCTTTCATCTCCATCTCCCCCTTTCTGCCCCCCTCCCCTCCCCTCCCCTTGTAGAGCTTTTCGGGGAGCGTCCCCTCCCCTCCTCTCCCCCTGTCCTGCGTGGGCGTCGCATCCAGATCTTGTCGCGCGATTCATCGATGGACGACGCCAGCGTTGCTTCTTCGGCGCCCTGCCCCACTCCCCCGCGGGGCCTCTTCGGAGCCAGGATTTTCTGTTCCCTCTCACTCTCACCTCCCCTCTCCTTGATCCTCCTCTCTGTCTCCTCTCGCCCTCCCCCCTCCCCCATCCCCCTCCCCTCCTCCGCGCAGACGTTGGCGGTGCTCCGGGCCAGAAGTCCGACGGGCTCTGGGCGGGCGCAGCGCACGACCGGTCGTCGTAGAGCTCGTTGGCGTGGCGTGTCCAACAGATCCGTCCGCTTTCCACGGTGCTGCGCTTCCGGCGCTGCGTTTTTGGGCGTGGGACTACGGTGCCGAGGGCTCCCAAAGAGAGCATCAGCAAAGCTCCCGAAATCACGGCAGAAGCAGGAACCACGCCGCGATATTTTTTTCTGTTCATCCTCCACCTCCTCATCCTTGCTATCTCTCACTCTTTTTCTCGCTCTCCCTCTTTTTTTTGTATTTCTCCCTCTCTCTCTCGATCGCTTGCATCCCTTCCCAACCCATCCTTCTCATCCTCCTCCTCTTTCTCCGCCTCCTCACTCATCACTTGCATCATCATCATCATCATCATCATCATCATCATCATCATCATCATCATCATCATCACCATCACCATCACCATCACCATCATCATCAGCAGCAGCATCAGCAGCATCAGCATTAGTATCAGCATCAGCATCAGCAGCATCATCAACGATCATTTTAAGAGTTTTGGCTCTTACCCGCTCGCGTGCCAGATAACACGTATATCCCAAACCTCGGAGCCCACCCTCTTCGTCTTCGATCATGCCCCCTATGGGGTATATCTTCCTTGCCTGCCACGTGTGATTGGTGCAGCCCCTGAAACAGGGGAACAGAGGACGGATGGACTGGGAAGGGAGAAGGATGGAGCACGGGATCAGCAGACGAGGGGCTAGGAGCAGAAAACATGTGGCAGAACCAGACGGGCCCATCGGGCGGGTAGACCCTAACGGGCGGGTCGGGAAGGCGGGCCCAACCGGCCAGGTCGAGAAGGCGTGTTGTTGAAGCGTGAGCAGCGCATGAATCGCGAGGAGAGTTTTAGCGATAGCGCGATTCCCAAGGAAATCGTGAGAAAGGCCACTGCGAGAGCGTGATTCCTGGGGGTCGAGGGCGCGGCGTCTGAATACATTGCGAGGAAGTCCCACGTGATATCGCGATTCCTGCATAAATTGTGAGGGGATCCCGCGCGAGAGCGCGATCTTGGAATACCTCGTGAGGAAGTATCAGGCGGGAGCCGTTGCTAATGTAGCTCGGGGCCCAGCAACGAAGCTTTGTAACCTTTCGCTTTCCCTGGTAAGAAACAGGGTGCGAGCCCCGAGGGGAGCATTTTTAATTGAAGCATGCATAGGTTACCGGAGGGAGGGGGATCAACAGTCATCATTCTTTAGAAATGAGAACGTAACATCATCATTTTCATCATCATTGTCGTCGTCATCGTCATCATCTTCGCCATCGTCGTCATCATCATCATCGCCATCGTCGTCATCATCGTCATCGACATCGTCATCGTCATCGCCATCATCCTCCTCATCATCAGCATCATCAGCATCAGCTTCACCATGGCCATCAACACCCATCATCATCCGTCATCGACCACCACCATCCTCATCATCATCGCCACCACCATCATCAGCGTGCAACACGGGGCAGGGCGAAGGCCACCCCCCTTCGCCCTGCCCCGTGTTGCACGCTGTCGGATCTCGTCCCCTTCCCCTCCTCGTTCTCCTCCTCCTCCTCCTCCTCGTTCTCCTCCTCCTCCTCCTCCCCCCTCCCCCTCCTCCCCCTCCCCCTCCTTCTCCTCCTCCTCCTCCTCCTCCTCCTCCTCCTCCTCCTCCTCTTCGCCGCCGGCGCCGCCGCCGCCGCCCCCTCGTACCCTCGCCCTTTCTCTCCGCTGCCCCCCCCCCGCGATCGCCCGCTCGCACCCTTCCCCCCCACGGCGGCGCTTCTCGCGGACGACGGCGGCGGCGGCGACAACGACGATTACCTCACGAATCGCGACACTCGCCGCACATCGGCGGCAGCGGCGCCAGCCGACGACGGACGACGGTCACCTTTGTTCGGCGGCGAGCCTGAGTGGGGGGAAGTCAGAGGTGCAGGCCCTCTCAGTAGGCAGCGGGATTCTGAGAAGCCCTTTGGCCTTCTGAGAAACCATCTCTGCTTGTGGAGAAGGCTTGCAACCCTTTTTCAGAAGGCCAAAGAGGGCTTCTGAGGAAGCCCCGCCGCCTTGGAGAAGGCCTTCCCCCTCTCACCCCCTCCTGGGCTCGCCGCCGATTTGCGCTTCTCGCGGGCCGCGACGGCGGCGGCGGCGTCGTTGACGCGCATCTCACGACTAACCCGTCGAAGGGAGGGGCGTGCTAACCTCCCCACGAGCTGGCTCCCGCCTATCTCCGCCTGGCTCGCCTGCGCTTCCCCCTCTTTTATAAAGGGGGGGATCCTCTGCAGCCGTGGCCCCTGGGGGTGCTCCCAAGCTTAAATCGGGTGTGTCCCTCTACAGGGGCAAATTCAATGATAGCCGCAGTGCAGTATCCCCAAACAGGGTTTTTAAACCAACTGCGGTTTCCGCGGGCGCACGTCTCAAAAGAAAAATCGTGACGTCGGATGTCTGAGGAGGGCGGAAGGCAGGGCGCGCATAACGGATGCTGAGGCGGCCGAAACGACGACGGCGGGGACGGGGAGGCGGAGGCAGAGGCGCAGTAGCGGGAGGCGGGAGGCGGGAGGAGGGAGGGGAAGAGGAGCCAGGCGGGAAGCGGGAAGAGGGAGGCGAGAGAAGGAATGAGAGAGGTTGTGATTGGAGCAGAACGGGCCAGACCATCTCGCGCGCAACAACTTCGAGCTTCGCATTGTGAGGATGGCTTAAGCAAGCGAAACTGGCCGGACCACCTCGCGAGCGACTTCTGTCTCAAATGAAACGGGCCGGACAACCTCTCGCACACGTTCTGAGAAGTCCACGTCAGGCTCGCTTCCCGTTAGGTCCTCTCCTGCAACTCCCTTCCTTATCCCTCCTCCTTCTTCTCCTCCTCCTCCCCCTCCTCCTGCCTGCTCCCTCATCCACATCCTCCTCCTCCTACTTCTCCCTTCCGTCTCCTCCTCCTCCTCCTCTTCCTCCTCCTCCTCCTCCTCCTCCTCTTCCTCCTACTCCTCCTCCTCCTCCTCCTCCACCTCCTCTTCATCCCGAACGGCATCTCAGAGCCCAGAGTTGCGAGGATGTCTCCAGCGTAACGGGCTGGACCACCTCGCGCGCAGCATCTCAGACCCCAGAACTGCGACGATGTCTTGGGCGAAACGTGCTGCGAGGAAGTCTCAGGCGAAATGGGCCGGACCACCTCTAGCGCGGTGTCTCAGAGCGCCGAGTTGCGGGGGCCTCCTGGGGCCTCTTAGGGCCTCCTGGGGACCTCCTGGGGCTTCCTCTTGGGCCTCCTGTGGCCTCCTGGACCCCACCTGGGGCTTCCTGAAGCCTCTTGGGGCTCCCAGGGGGGGATATCTAACATGTAACATGTGGCCGTCTGGGCCCCCCAAAAGGGGGGGTCACAAGAGCAGGACAAATCAACGAATCGACACCGGATGTGTATGAACTTGACACGTTCTGATAGGGGCCTCCTGGGGCCTCCTGGGAGCCTCCTGGGAATCGTGGGGGCCCCTGGGGCCTGTCCTGGGCGTCCTGCGGCCTCCTGAAGCTCTCTGGGGCCTCCTGTGGCTCCCAGGGTCCCAGGGGGGATACGTAACATGTGGTCTTCTGGGCCCCCAGGCTGGACCACCTCTTGCACGGCATCTGGGAGCTCAGAGTTGCGAGAATGTCTTGTGCGAAACGAGCCAGACCACCTTGCGCACGGCATCTCAGAGCTCAGAGTTGCGAGGATGTCTCAGGCGAGACGGGCTGGACCATCTCGCGCAGGGTATCTCAGAGCTCAGGATTGCGAGGATGTCTCAGGCGAAACGGGCTGGACCACGTCGCGCGCGGCATCTCAGAACTCAGAGTTGCGAGGATGTCTCAGGCGAAACGCGCTGGACAACCTCGCGCACGGCATCTCAGAGCTCAGAGTTTCGAGGATGTCTCAGGCGAAACAGGCTGGACCACCTCTCGCGCGGCATTTGGGAGCTCAGAGTTTGGAGGATGTCTCAGGCGAAACGGGCCGGACCACCTCTCGCGCGGCATCTCGGCATGCAAAAGTGCGAGGATAATTGAAATGAAACGAGCCCGACCACCTCTTGGGCGGCATCTCGGGGCTCAGAGTTTGGAGGATGTCTCATGCAAAACGGGCCGGACCACCTCCCGCGGCATCAGATAGCGCAGAGTTGCGAGGATGTCTCAGGCAAAATGGGCCAGACCACCTCGCGCACGGCATATCAGGGCTCAGAGTTTGGAGGATGTCTCAAGCGAAACGGGCCGGACCACCTCTTTCGCGGGATCTCGGGGCTCAGAGTTTGGAGGATGTCTCAGGCGAAATGGGCTGGACCACCTTTTGCGCGGCATCTCAGAACTCAGAGTTGCGAGGATGTCTCAGGCGAAACGCGCTGGACAACCTCGCGCACGGCATCTCAGAGCTCAGAGTTTGGAGGATGTCTCAGGCGATACAGGCTGGACCACCTCTCGCGCGGCATTTGGGAGCTCAGAGTTTGGAGGATGTCTCAGGCGAAACGGGCCGGACCACCTCTCGCGCGGCATCGGGGAGCTCAGAGTTTGGAGGATGTCTCAGGCGAAACGGGCCAGATTACCTGTTGCGCGGCATCTGGGAACTCAGAGTTAGGAGGATGTCTCGCGCGAAACGCCAAATCCCGGACAACTCAGAAACAACAGTTGCGAGGATGTCTCAGGCGAAACGGCCCGGACCACCACATTTTTTTGAGGACGTCTCTGTTTTGATTTCCCTCGGCCGGAGTTAGTTTCTATCACAACAGCACCCCGTTCAGCAAGCTGTTTGGGGAAAATAATAATAAAGATACTGGGGACGATCTTTTGACAATTTTGTTTTTTTGTTGTTTGCATCTTTGGCGTGCTTAAACAAATCGCCCAACATCCGCCTGCAGGGGGGCATGCCCGACCTAATCCCAAGCCCCCGATGTGCACATCCTGGGAAGGTAGATTGGGCTGGCGGGTAAGGCGGGCGCACACCAGCCGGGCGGGCGGGCGGATCGGGAAGTCGGACCCTGTCTTGTCGGGTGGGTGGGCACCAGACGGGCAGGTCGGGCGCCCGAGCTCCCGCAGGGGCGCATCAGGGACGCGTTTGCGACATCGTTGGGCTCGGGCTCTTCGAGCGGGCGCAGCGAGATTTGTGGGAACCGTGCTGATGCACCTCTAGAGAGGAGAGTCGCTCAAGTCACCTTGGCTTCGGCCCCTGCAGCGGGCCAGTTGGCTGATGTGTTGGCAGGTTGGCAACTCGACTGGTGGTCTGGTCGGCAGGGTGGCTGGTTGGTTGGTTGGCCGGCTGGCAGGCAGGTTGGTTGGCGGGTTCGGGGCCTTGGCCCCGCGTTCTTTGACCAGGGACCGCGGCACCTTTGCGAGGGGTCGTGGCCTCTGTGGGTGCGGCTACGCTGCATCGTGCCCTCGGGAGCCAGGACACTTTCCCTGTTTGACGAGGGATCGTGGCATCGGGAGCGCGGACGATGTGTTTTTGTACGAGTGATCGTGGCCCCAGCAGCACGGGCCAGTTATATTTTTGAGAACGGGTCATGGCCTCGGGAGCGCCGATCCATTGTTTTTACCATGCGCTGTTGCCGCGAAACCGAGGGCTCGCTGTCTGTTGCAAGGGATCGCGGCCTCGGTCCTGAAGGCCCGGGGCCTCTTGGTGAGGCCCTGGGAGGCCACTTGGGGCCTCTTGGGTGTCTCTTTAGGCGCGCCTTGGGGAGCCTGCTCGGGGCGTCTCGGGAGTCTATCAGGCCTTCTCGAGGCAGTGGTCGGCCGTCTCGTGGCGCCGTCGGGCCGTCCTGGCGCTCCCTGGTCCGCCCTGGGGTCCTCTTCGTGCCCTCTGTAGGCCCGTTGAGTGGCCCTCGGAGCGCTGGAGAAGCTGCGCGACAAACCCCAGCAGTCACGCGCGCAGCCATTGGAAATGGACTTGGGCCCTCGTGCCCTTTACAGAGTAGATTCCACATTCAGTATTGGGGACCCCGCAGGACCTGAGGACACTTCTCCCAATGCCTCGCGGCACGGTGGCGGCTCATCTCGCCTATGCATTATCTGAGCCTCCTGAGACTTGGTGACTGCGCTCAGAGAAATCGCGGCTTCCCAGTTGTTGTTGTATGGGCTCTGGGAAACAAGTGCGATGTTGCGATGTGTCTCGAGCTGAGCTGCTCAGTTGCCGAGGCCGTAGCTTCGCAGCCGGATGGCCCATGCAGCAGATGGGGGTCCGTGGGTGTGCTTGTTTTTCTCGAGGTCCCGAGCCCCCTCTGGCCATGGGGCGCGCCGGGGGGGGAGGGGAGCACCCGTGCGAGCGTAAAATCCGACTCGGGTGAGCTGGCCCGAAGGTGCTTCACGGTGCACCCACAGCGGAAGCCGAAGCCAAGGCTGAAGGGCCCACCCGGCTGCAGTGGGGAGCGAGGGCGGGACGCTGCCGGGAATTTGTCGCCGCGAGCTGCGCAGACCTTTGCTGCCTCGATACGCCCGTTCTGAAACGCAACGCGTCCCGTGTTCAAGACGTCCGTGTCAATACGTTGCGTGTTGGCTCCACGCATTGGCCCACGTTTTTGGCGAATGTATCGCGTCGGACCTACGTTTTCAGCCTGCGTGTTGAGCTCCGTATCAATACGCTACGTGTTGCGTGCTGTGTATCGGTGCAACTCAGGCGCAGCTCGCCCCCGGGGTTTTGCTCTGCGCGCCGCGCAGCGAAAGAGCGCGCCGGCGTGGCACCAGCGGCCGTGCAGACACTGCGCTGGGAGCGCGGCCGCCGCGCTCCTCTGGGGGGAGGGGGGCGGTGCTGGCATTCTCTCGGTCTGCCCTGCAGTGTTTACCCGGATTGCGGTAGCACGGCTGTTAGGCAGGGTTTTATCGCCCTCCTCTTCTCTCTGTGTCTCTTTCTCCCTATCTCTCTCTCTCTCTCTCTCTAGGCTTCCAAGATGGGGTCGGAGCAAGCGGTGTCGGAGGATCGCGCCGAATCGCCGATGCATCAGCGATGCGGCTCGGTGTGGAGCCCAATTTTCTCCACGATGGCGTCGCCGATGCATCGCCGACGTCGCCGATGCATTCCCGATGCATCGCCGATATATCGGCGACGCATTGGCGATGCGGCGCGATCCTTCGACCCCATCTACTCCGATTCCATCAAAAATGATTATAGTTTGGGCAGGGTTATTTCTCCCTCTTTCTCTCTCTCTCTCTCTCTTTCTATTTCTCCCTATCTCTAGGTATGCTTATATGGCATAGAGTATGCTATTGCTCATCTTCCCTCGGGTGCCTGTTGGGGTGTGCCTGCAGGTACCTCGCCCGCCATACAGAGTGGTTGCGAAGTATACCTACCAGAGCTTCGGCCATTTACGTGCGTAGTTTTGTTGCCCCCCTTCTCCCCTCTGCTGCTGCCCTTCCTCCTCCTCCTCCTCCGTTGTGCCTGCTGTGTGGTTTTCAGAGTGGGATTCCGCGATGCGGATTCTCGTTGTTGTTGTTCGTTGTTGTTCGGCGTCGTCCCCGCGACCTGGCTCGCGACCCACCCGCGACTTACCCCGCGACCCACCCGCGACCCACCCGCGACCCACCCGCGACCCACCCGCGACCCAGCCCGCGACCCACCCGCGACCCACCCGCGACCCACCCGCGACGCACCCGCAACCCACCCCGCAACCCACCCCGCGGCCCACCCCGCGACCCGCCCCGTGACCCACCCGCGACCCACCCGCGACCCACCCGCGAGCGGGTCCGCGACCCACCCGCGACCTACCCGCGGCCCACCCTGCGACCCAACCGCATTGATTTGACGAGAAACAAAAGGCACCTGCGGCGGGCTCATTACAGCATTTGTAAAAGTTAGGCGCCTGCGGCGGGCTGCTTCAGAGCCTCGCAGACTGCCGACGTCCTCGCCGCCCCCTCACTCTTACCCGCAACTGCGGGGAGTGGCTGGCAGAGCCGCTGTGGATGCTCACACAACGCGTTTGTATGTTCCCCCTTCTCGTCCCTCTCCTGGCTCCTCTGCTCCTCCTCGTCCCCCTGCTCCTCCTCCTCCTCTGCGCGTTTCAATCGCACAAGCTGTCGTACACAGCATCTGCGTTGTCGTACGTTCTAGTGTGCTGCCTTGCCTGACGGGTCGTGTCATCGGTTGTCATCCCTCCCTTCGCTACGATCGGTCCGCTGTGCTCTCTTTTGCAAAAGAGTTATTGCTTCTCTTCCTCTCTCTCCGTCTCTTTGTCTCTTT